TGGGGGTCGAGCCTGCAACCCGGGCCTGTGCCCTTGACCAGGAATCGAACCCGGGACCTCCTGGTTCCTAGCTGGACGCTCACCACTGAGCCACCCCAGGGGCGGGGTCTCTCTCACTCCCTGTTTCTGCAAAGGACCACCTCCCGGTCTCTCCCTTCTGGGTGTCCAACCACCGCACCCAGGGGACCCTGAGAAGAAGCCGGGGTGCGTGCTGCTATGGGGGTGCCGCCCTCTGGATGGCTGGGCCTGGGGGCCGCCCCCACAAATCTCTGCCGAATCTTTGCAGCGCGCACCTGGCCAGGAGGATGGGCTGTCGCGTGCGCACACTCGGAGCGAAACCGGGTAGAGTCCGCGGGGTGGCCAGGGGCACCTCGGTTTGAGGAACCGCTTTTGCGCGGGGGCTGGCTGGTGGGGACGCCTGACATGTGAGTATCAATGTAGCCCCGTGTGTTTCCTGCGGGTGGAGGGTCAGGGAAGGGGTCCCCCAGCCCCCCACTCCCCACACACCAGCCCCCAGGCCAGCTGCCCTTGGAGAGGTTTGAGTGGCAGCAGGCGGAATCGGGCCCACCCCAGTAGAGGGCGGTTTTGGGGTCCCCCTTCTGTGCTGGAAGGTGTTTCGGGGAGGCCAGCTACTTCAGGGAACCCCAATATTTTTCATTTTTTTTCGGCATCAATCCCACTGTCATCACTTGGCTTATCACTGCTATGTTCAGAAAAGACTGAGAGAGAGAGAGAGAGAGAGAGAGAGTAGCATCCATGATGAGAGAGAACCACGGATCGGCCGCCTCCTGCACGCCCCCGACTGGGGATCGAGCCCACAACCCGTGCACGTGCCCTTGACCGCGAATCGAACCCGGGACCTTCCGGTTCCTAAGTCATCCCTCCACCCACTGAACCACACCATCCAGGCTGTGGCCGCCTCTCACTCTTGTACCCTTTGCCTTTTAGAGCATCTCCGAGCAGGGTGCCCGCGGGGCCCGCGCGCACAGGCGCGCGCGCCACACGATGGACATCAACATTTCGCGCCCGGACAACGCCACCATCCTGATGCTCAAGAACCCAGCCATCGCCGTGGTCCTCCCCGTGGTCTACTCCTTCGTGGCCTTGGTCAGCATCCCGGGCAATCTATTCTCGCTGTGGGTCCTGTGCCGGGACATCGGACCCAAATCCCCGTCCGTTATCTTCATGATTAATCTGAGCGTCACGGACCTGGCACTGGCGAGCGCGCTCCCGTTCCAGATCTATTACCACTGCAACCGGCACCACTGGGTGTTCGGGCCGCGCCTGTGCACCGTGGTCACGCTGGTCTTCTACGCCAACATGTACTCGTCCATCCTCACCATGACCTGCATCAGCGTGGACCGCTTCCTGGGCGTGGTGTACCCGCTGGCGTCCGCGCGCTGGCGGCGGCGCCGGTACGCGGTGGCCACGTGCGCGGGGATGTGGTGCCTCCTGCTCGCCGCGCTCTCGCCGCTGGCGCGCACCGACCTCACCTACGCGGTGGAGGAGCTGGGCATCATCACCTGCTTCGATGCCATCTGTGTTCACCATCCAGGTCCTTGTGTTATTAATGGGCTGAGGTACCCAACAAACTGGTTTTGGTGAGAAAAGGTATTATAGGTGACCCTTTGTAGTATACACTGGAGGCCCGATGCACAAAATTTGTACAAGAGTAGGCCTTCCTTCCCCTGGCTGCCGGCACAGACTTCCCTCTGGCTCCCAGGACCCAGGTTTCCCTCGCAGCCCT